ACAGAAACAGAGCTTTCCTGATTTTCACAAAACTCCTTCTCTTTTGCAAACTCCATCCTCTGCTCCACTACATAATTACCATTCCTAGAAAGCCATGACACAGGGAATAGGACAGTCAGCTGAAAGGGGACATCTTCTGCTAATGAAACTGCTACAGAGAGAATAAATTTCACAGCCACTTCTAGCTAGAAGTCATGATATCTAATGGTTGTCCAGCTATTCACTACTTCCAATATTTTTTAAATGTACCAGATAACCATCTATATAAATCAGTCCACTTCCTAATTCAGCAAAAATTCTGCAGCTTTTTCTGTAAAGTCATATTCTACATTACAGTTTCTCCAATTTGATCACAGACTAACTTCAGCATTAAATAAGCAAACCTTGGTTTTGTTACCATAAAAATGTTTACATTTATTATTATTAGAATAAATTAAATTTAAAATAAAACAAACGCACATAGTTTTCCCTGGGGAAAAAAAAAGGGCAGAAAAACCTACAAGTATTTATGCAGGTCACATTGCTTAATAAGCTTGTGCAAGTCATTTGAATACTGTGGAGATGGCGACTAGAAAAACCTGATTAGAATAAAATTTTATTAATTAAGCCCCATAATATCCTGAAAGATAGGCAAGTGATATGCCTTTATAGAGATGGCACAAATTGACTTGTTCAATGTCACACTGCCTCAGGGGAACGATAATTTCCAATGAACTAACCTACAGCTTTCACGTGGGCTTCATTTGGGGGAATACACAAAAGTTTCATCTTCTCCTGAAGAAGGGAGGAAAACATCTTTCATCTCTTATTAGTCATAGTGCTGAAATATCTTTAGTGCCCTCTGGTGTGCATTTCAGCAGCCAATATATGCATAAAATGAAAATTAATTGACATTGATCTGAACACAACCTTCAGTTCATCTTTCTGACTACTTCTAAACAAGCCTTCAACTTCCCAGGACAAACAGGAGATACAGTTAACATCTCCATGGCATTTATTGACCCAAAGCATCAGTTTAAAACGTAGGTTTTAGCAAGTATCCTAAATATAAACATTAAGAGAAAATATAGAATTTCACTCTCTTGATTCAATTGACACTGTGAATTTAGTTCTCCACACCTCTAGCAGTCTCACATTTGACTCCAATAACACTACCAGAGCCTTTCCTGTTTGACTTAATACTACTGTATTTTTAACTAAAAAAAAAAAAAAAAACAAAAAAACCCAAACCAACCAACCAACCAAACAAAAAACCAAATAAAAAAACCCTCCCTAAATCATTTTCACTTTTTCCACTTTCTCATCCATTTCATCTCTTCCTGCTTTAATACAGAGGAGTTTTACAGAAATAAGTCGTACGACCAGTGTAAACTCCACTGTTTCTCCCTGTTTGTTGCTGACAACTTAAGTCACTGCTTCTTTGCCCACTAAAGGTCTCCACTAGGAATCTTAGGCTACAGTTTCATGTTACCCTGTATCTGATACAACCCCGGATCCCATATGCTCAATCTAGCAAGCTTTTGGCCTTAGGAAAATCAGAAGAGTACCCCGAACCAGGAGAAAGCTATTCATTTTTATGTCTGGGTGATGCTTATGCCATACCAGTGACTGTCAGAGCTGGCAACTGCATGATTGTGAGATTTCATGCAAAGGAGACCACACGAGGGATACCTCGGGGAGAAGAAGTGGGAACTTCTGTCAGCAGCCCAATGTGACACTGAATCAGCTGCAACAGCAACCGTGACCTATTCAAATCTGCAGTCCAGTTTTGGGCTCCCTAGTAGAAGATGGACATCAGCATAGTGAATGAGTCCAGCACAGAGCTACCCAGATGATTCGGAGGACAGAACACATGATGCACTGGGAGAGACTGAGAGAACTGGGTTTGTTCAGCCTTCAGAAAGCTCTGGCAGCATCTTACTGCTATCTAAATCTATGTAATGGGAAGGTGTAGATAACAGAGACAAATTCTTTCAAGTGGATGGAACAAGATTCAATGGATACAACTTGAAACATGCAAAATTTCAATTTAATATATGGAATTTCTCACTTTTTTTTTTAAACCATAAGGGTAGTCAAGCTCAGAACACGTTGTCTGCAAAGGCAGTAAAATCTATGTATTTGGAAGTATTCAAAACTCAGCTGCACACAGCCCTGAGCAACATGCTCTTGTTTAAGCTGCTTTGTGCACTGGGCTGGACTAGATGATCTCCAGAAGTCCCTTCTAATATACCTCAGTCTATGAGTTTATTAAGTGCATCAACTCTTTTCATATAATCACACCAAAATGATTCCTATTGTATTTTTCCTTCTGAAAAAAGGACTAGAATTTGAATATCAAAACACAATGTCCTTTAATTCGCACTTTTTATTTTTTTAAATAAGAACATAACCACACTCAGGGAAAACATTCCATTTTCATCACTCACAAGAAGTGACTAAAGGAACAGCTTTGAGACACCCTTGCTCAGCTGAGACATTTCAAACGGCACATGTTCATCCACAAACCACTGCCTTTACTAGTTGACGGAAACCATCTTGCCTCCTAGAGCAATTAGGACTGCTGGATCTGACCCTTACTGAATTCTGAACAGAACAGAGTATGGGCAAACCTACCCATTCAGGAAGGTACTGCCAGCTACCACTGGCCAGATGTAAAAGACTATAGTTCCCGAACGACAAGGATCAACCTGAGACACCTAAAGAATTGCAGCAAGCTGACAGAACTCTAAAGCACAATATTGACCCTGCAGACAACATGTTGTCTCCCAGGAACTGAGTCTTACAGCTCAGAGAGAAGCACGTCAGATATCCATGCATGCCAGTCACAAGCAGCCAAAATTCAGCTGAGACGCAGCATGAGTCGAGCCAAGAACAACCAAATTCAGTAATTTAGGACCTGATTCAGAAATCACATTTCCCCATTGCCCTCCTCACATACAGCGATAATTTAGCTGAAAATAAAACAACAATCAGCCGTTTCCAGCAACAGTGAGAAAGATGAATAAGGCAGCCATCAAAATTCCTTTAGGCACAGGAAAAAAGTAACATTCTGGAAAGACTTTCTGGAGTGTAAACTTCATTTTTTTAATTTACTTATACTGTTAACTCTGCATGCTTTAATCCCTCTCTGTTTCACAGGCTGTTTAATGAGGAATTAGCACAAAAGCACAAACCTACTTCTGACAGAACCAAAGCTGGAAGTCAGATTCTTCTTCATATTGAGACTATTCAGGCAGACCAAACTGCATCCCCTTCATCCGATGCATGCCATTTTGGTAAGTTTCCAGGAGGCAACACCGACTTCAGTGCACAAAACATCTTTCTGTTATCACTACAGATAACATGTGAACTTGAAATAGACCTAACTGTTGCATTTAAAGCCATGGTACCTGACCCTATCCAAAACTACCTCAAGTTAAAAAAAACAACATACTATGAAACAAGGGAAACTAGACAAAGAAATTAGATTTGGAGCTAAAGTAATAAACGCAGTGGTATTATCTCAGGCTATTTACATCAAGAAATTGGATTCTGACTCACATGCTGCTCATCACATGGCTAAAGCAGAAATTACCACTCAAGCCTCCAATCCATTTTGCCCATGGCAAAGAAGTACTATGAATAACACATCCTTACAGCTTCCACAACAGGACATAAGGAATGCTAAAAATCTGTGACTGAAAACTCTGGAAACTTTCACCAGCTGTTCACGCAGAGGACTGAAGGACTGAAATCTGCCAGAAGTAGCAAACAGATCAGTGGGGGTGGTAACCACTTCAGCCATCTGGCTTAAAGTCTTAATTCAAATCTGAAATCTGTAGTTCTGGACATCTTCAGCTGCCCATTTATGACTCCGCCTGGCACGAGTGAGCACTGTGAGCCTGGCTGTGTGACACAGCCACATGACACAACAAGCAGGGCCCAGCCTTCCCTGCTACCCTGGCAGCACCCAGCACCTCAGGGCCCCCCGCTGACCTGCGTGTCAGGGGCCCTTCCTTCGCTTAAGTCACGAGCCTCAGACAGAAGGCAAGAACTTTAAACACTTCTTTTATTTTTTTTTTAAGTTATTAGGATGTTTAGAATGTGACCAAAACGAACCAAACCTCAGCAAAAGGGAAGGAAGGCAGTTTTTGACAATCTACAGCCCAGCCGAGGCAGTAGCCCCGGGCAGAGCCGAGCCAGCACGCCGGGGGAGCCAGGACACTCCCAGCCCCGGGAGCGGCGGCGGGGCGGACGCTACTTACAGCCCTGGTCTCATACAGCACCAGCTTCTGCACGGAGCTGATCAGGGGGGCGGCCGCCGCCGGCATGACGGCCCCGAGGCACGGTCGAGGCGGGAGCGGCGGGGGATGCCCGGGGACAGCCCAGGAACAAGCGGTCAGCCCCCGCCAGAGCTGTAGGGGACACACCTCCGGCAAGGGGGGAACCCGGAAGTGCCCGCGCGCCACCGCGCCGGCGCACCCACGGGAGGGAGAGGGAGCGCGCCTGCGCCGCCGCCGCCACTGCAGGAGGGGCCGGCGGAGCAGCGTCACGCGCCGCTCCTCGGCAGCGGCGGATCCCGGCAGCGGCACCGGGGCAGGCGAGGAGGCCGCAGCCGTAGCCGCAGCCGCTGCTCCCGCCGGGACGCAGGGGACCGCTGCTCCCCTCCCCTGCGAGGGGAGCACGGTCAGCACCAGGAACAGCTCCGCAGCCCCGTCGGGGCCCCCGCCTCACCCGCCTCTGAGGGGCGGGGCCAATGTCAGAGGGCGGGGCCTCTGTCTCACCCTCCCTGACAGGGCGGGACTCCACTCCCTGGGGGCGGGGCCAGGTGCAGGGGGCGGGAAGCGGCAGTTGCCCGGGTAGCGGGGGCGCGCGCGGCGTTGCCACAGCCATCGCTGAGGCCCCGCACGCGTCCGACGTAAGTGCCCCCCCGATCCGACCCGAGGGAGGCGTCCACCGGGACATGGTCCTGGGAGTGGGGAGGTGTGTGTCTGTCTGGTTTAATTCTTTGCTTTAGTTGTGGTGTTTTTGTGAATTTGGAAATTGACCCTTAATTGTGACGGTTTGGGAAGGGGCGAAACTGCGGGGAACGGCAGGTAAAGCTCAGCCGGTGCGTTTCCTGTGAAGAAATTGAGTGTTGGTTCGCACGTGGAGGCCTTTTTTTTTTTTATATTAAAATACTTATTGCGAAGGTGTCTGAATGTTTCAGTTTGACGTTTCAAGACTCTTTTCAGATTTTTTTTCAGATTTTTCAGATTCTCAGTAGAATTTTCAAATTCAGTTATTTAATTTAAAAATGATTGGGGGTTTTGTGGGGTTGTACTGGGTTGTATGGAGGTCGTGCTGGGGCTGTGTGGGTGAGACTGAAGTGGCCCTCTAATGAAAGCTGGAGGGTTTTTTTGCCTTCTTCAAACAAGCTTAAACAAGCTCCTCACGTTTTTGGCCTCCATTTGTGTGAAAGACCCACCCAAATTTTCTTCCAACTTACCTTAATTAGAAGCTTGTTTGGGTTTTCATTTGTTGCATAGCACTGGATGTGTGGCTTCTGGGAGTCCTGGAACAGCTGGGATTTGTGAGTGGACAGATTATGAACCGTGATTTGATTTTGCAAAGCCTTATTTATGTACCTACGTGTGGTTCCACTGACCATGACAGGGGCCTTCTGTGTCTGAAGCTCACAAGTGAAGGTCTTAGCAGGCCCACGGTACGTTTCAGGGACCAGAGAGACTGTGTGGTATTTGGAACAGGAAGGACAAGGCAATGAAACACTTGAAAAGAGCAACAAGCAGTTTGAGAGTCAGGAAAAAGTTATCAACTGCCATAAAATTCCAGCTGGGGATCAGGGGCAGTTCCGACAATCCTTTATTTTTCAGAAGTGGCTTTTCTCTTAGTAATGGATGTGTTCTCAATTGCTTTTTCTTCTTATAACAGCTTTTTTTTTTCTTTACAAAGCCATTTACCTTGTAATTCAGTTCCACTTGAAAGTAATTTTACACATATGTAACTACTGTATTTTTCTCCTAGTCTTAGATAATACATGGCTTCGCAGGATGAAAAACAAGCTCAGCCCTTTACAGACATCTTTGATGAAGATGAGGCTGAAAAATCCTTTCTGTTGTCCAAGCCCACTTGCTTAATTATCTTTGGAAAGCCAGTAAGATGTCTGATAGACATTTTTTCTTCAGATATTTTGCTAACAATTTTACTTTTCCTTTCAAAACATTAGTTTAGCGATGCTGCCAAAAGGACCAAACACCTACTTTTTCACCTTTTCCACTCTTCAAATACTTCAGAGTGTGGTAAAGATTCTGATCTCATTTAATGAGGCCAACTTTTGGCCTGTGTGATCAGTCAAGTGCAATTAAAAGTGTTAAAAGTTACATGTTACTCAAAAAATTTCTTTTCACATTGACAACTGGATGGTTTTTATTTTTGTGGTGGTTTAACCCCAGCCAGCAACCAAATCCCACGCAGCCACTCACTAGCCCCAGTGGGGTGGGACAGAGAATCAGAAGGGTAAAAGTGAGAAAACTCATGGGTTGAGATAAAGACAGTTTAACAGATAAAGCAAAAGCCATGGACATGAGCAAAGCCAAAGAAGGAATTAATTCACCACTTCCCATGAGCAGGCACCCCCAGGAGAGCAGGGCCCCATCACGTGAAACAGTTACTTAGGAAGACAAACACCATCACTCTGAATGTCCCCCCTTCCTTCTTCTTGCCCAGCTTTATAAGCTGAGCATGATGCCGTATAGAATCCCTTTGGTCAATTGGGGTCAGCTGTCCCAGCTATGTCTGCTCCCAACTCCTTGTGCATCCCCAGTCTCCTCACCAGTGTGGCAGTATGAGAAGCAGAAAATGCCCTGTCTCCGTGTAAGCACTGCTCCGCAGCAGCAAAAACATCTCTATATTAACAACACTTTTTTTCAGAACAAATCCAAAACATGGCCCCATACTTGCTACTATGAAAAAAAAAATAACTCTACCCCAGCCAAAACCAGAACAATGTTATTAAGTATTCTAACTTTTAAAAAACTTGATGGATTAAAGACATAAATAGCCATAAAAGAACCTTAAGGTTAATGTACTGACTTACAGACGTGCAATGAGATATTACATATCTTAACCTTAATATTAAAATTCTGACATAGTTATATATCATGTATTTGGGAACATCTGAAATCCAACAAGGTGTCCCAATAAGGTTTGTACCTCATTTCAACTATAATTCAAGGTCTCTCTTTTTCTCAAATAATTTGTGGCCTCCTGTACTTAGGAAAATGCAATGTTTTATAATCCTAAACTTCTCAGATTTTTCTCTTTTATGAAGTGTAGGAGACTTTGTGTGGGGGTGCATTAGTGCCTTAGTTTGCTGAAGGGAGTTCTTTTTTTGGAACAAGTTTGCTGTATAACGTGTCGTATGGCTATATGCACTTAAAAGAGTGCACTCAGCTCAGTAGAAAACTACACTGGACTAGCTTGTCTAATTTTAAACAAATATCAAATTTCTAACCTCACATGAAAAAGGTAACTTTACATTTTTTAGACTAAACCAGCATAAAATGCTCATTGAAAGACAATACAAAAATATTCTCATATTCTCAATCATTGCTTTCAGTAGACGCTTTACATTAATACAAATTTAACAAAGGGTTAAAACTGTACAGTCCTTACCAGGAAAACAGGGAATTAAATAGTCTATTTTTTGTGGTAATATTTTTTATTTATATGACTGATGTGTAGAGCACCTATCTTATTTAAGATAGATCTTTTAAGTTAAAAACATAGTGCCATTAAACCAAAACCAAATATATATACTTACATCACATCTGTAAGATTTAAGGTGTGAGAAGCTGGAGTGTTTGCTGATACACTGTTAACTGGGAATTGTGATTTGTTTGTGGATTTTTACTAATTTTAATCACAAAATTTATCTGGGGCAAACAATTGTCAAAACAGGTCTTTGTATGTGCCCTTGGAATAAAGGGACACAATCCGAAGGGTGGAAGATGGTGAGTTACAAAAAATCCCATTCAGGTAGCTGTACTCTTAGATGCCTCATTTTTCTCGGCTATGTTGGTTCCTCAGGACTCATATAAATGATAAAATAAACATTTTGTCAGTATCAAACCAAATTTGTGGACTAACAAGGGCAGTTTTTAAGCATTTGTTGTTTTAGTCAAAGAATATTATCCCTATGTATCCTACTCAGAAAGGCTTGAGCAGGTTTGCATCATAATAGGCTTTGAGGCTGAAGATAATAAATTTCAGTCCTAAAGGGTTTCTCATAGGAATATGTAGGCAAATCATAGCTGAGTTTTAGATAGAGTTACTCAGAAACAAAATCAGTGTAATGACTTTGATGATAATTAACTGCAAAGGGCAGTAGCAGTATATTAGCAATGCTAGGCAGTATACAATAGAGGATGGTAACAAAAAAGTGTTCTGTGTTTGCCCAGTGCATAACTCAGAGGCCCTGATCCCAGTGGTAGCTTTTAGTTGTTTTTATCATATGCAAATATATTCTTTATTGTGTGATATGTTTGTGGGTTTTTTTTGTTTTTGTTCAGCCTGTTTTTCTTTTAAAAGTGTATTTTTTGTTTTAAGGGTTCTGGAAAGAAAACGTTAGCTAGAAAACTAGCACAGAGATGGAATTGCATTTTCATAGAAGGTAAACATACACTGTATTTGGAACATTGCAATTGTTTCACAATATCTTTTGGTTCAGAATATCCTTGCTGTTCCCTGTAACTCAATAAGGCATGTTTCTGATTCCAGCAAAGGCTTCTGATAAGGACCAAGTAACCATTTTGCCAGAAATACAATTGCTGATAATGGCTTTTTAGTTATTGAAAGTCTTAGAAAATCACTGTGGGTTTTTTTTTTCATCATAATCAAATTCTATTCCCAATCCTGTAAGGTGATTCATGTGACCCTTCTTGTTCACATGGAGGCAACTCATTCAACTCCAGAGAGCACAGACATTTTCCAGTACAGACCATGAAAAAATAGAAGGATCTTTCTTTTCTTTTGTGTAGTGTTCAGTGCAAGGTGTGTGTCCTCCAGGAAACAGAAGCATAGCTTTTGTATCACTACGAGTAATAAAGGAAGTAATGGGAACTGGCATTTTCCAATTTCTAAACCAAAAATATCCAGTGACTTATTTCAGAAGGTGTAGTTAATTTCTCCCACCATGCATTTACCAGAATAAAAGGTGTCATTTAATTTTTTAAGCTATTGAGCTACATTTCTGACGGTCCCTCTCATCAAAGATTTTTGAAGATTTGTAGGGTAAAACCTGTTATGTATAACATTATCTTATTCCCTATCAACACATTGCTTGAGATTTCCTTTTCATTTTGAGGCATCTCAGAAAGAAAGTTCCTACAAAAAAGCATTAAGTCTGGGGAAGTTGTTTGGGGTTTTTTTGGTCCTAATTTTGTCAACAGTAAGTAAAGAAACGCTAAAAAAGATGTAATTTTTTTAAAGCCCTGGTAATATTTTTATGTCCATGACATTATAATTCACAAATCTTGACCCTTTCACTGAAGTTTTATGAAAAAAAGAAACCTTTTACACCACGTATGTCCTACCAGTTTGAAGGGTAATACAATATTTTTAAGTAAAAGAAGCACAATATAACCTTACCTATGAAGCAATTTATTGAGTACCTCTTTAGGGACACCAAATTATAAATCTGATGTTATGGTATATATGTGTAAATTGTTCTGATTCTAAACTTATTCTTTACATATCATTTATGCTCAAGTTTTGTCTTTTAAATTTGCCCTCTGGTATTTTTTTATTGTTCTAATGAAAGCCCTCTAGTGGACAGGGTAACACTTCATATTCCTGCGAGTATGTAGTTATTTATCAAATGAAGCATCTTTATCTTCTTTTGAAGGTTTGGAACTCTAACATAGTACAATTCAGTTTTAATAAAGTGCTTTTTGGACTTATGTAAATGTAGAATTTTAAATTCATATTATTGTATAACAAAAAATTAACACCTGTCCAAAACATAGATCGGACCAAAATCAGAAGGCACCTCAGGAATGTACTTAAGCCAATCCACTCTGTTTGAAAGTATTTAAACCATTACTGACAAATATCCATCAGATTTGTTTTTAGAATCTCCAGACAGTCTATCTCTGTAACACAGTCTTTGCCATTAGAAAGTTTTTCTTATGACTGATCTAAATCTCACTTTCTGCATTTTTAAGCCTTATTTCTAGTAGATTCAGGGAATTATTCTTTTCTAATTTTGCTCGTGATATTTCTTTTAATCTTTTGGTTAGTGTACCCACACATGTGTACACACATATTCCTTCAACTTTTGCTAGTAAGTTTTTTTTCACTTTCTACATCAAAAGAAAGAAATGAAGAAATTTAACATATATAAACATGAATAATTGAGTTCAGAAAGGACCTCCAGAGATGACCGGGTCTCAACCTTCCTCTCAAAGCAGAGTCAACTAGATTGAGTCTGGAATATTTCCAAGGATGGAGACTCTATGTCCTCTCAGAGAAACACTTTACAATGTTTGACTACCTTCATGATGAAGAATTGCTTCCTAATTACCCCATTCAGATTTCTCACGTTCTTACTTATGTCTGTTGCCTCCTGTCCTAATTGCTCTTCTGTGAAGACAGTGGTTCTGAGTTTGTGATCTCCCAGTAAGTTTTAGACAACAGTAAGATTTGTCTGCTTTTCTTCAGGCTGAACAAGGCCAGTTCTTTTGGCCTTCCTAGAACATTCAACACTTCTAATCATATTGGTGCCCACTTCTGGACTTGCTCCAGTGTAAAAATATCTGTCTTGTGCTGTGTTAAAAATAAACCAAGATAGAGAATTATTAAATAGGAAAGGTGTTCGCAGTCTTTTTAATTATAATACTTTCTATCCATTTATTCAATGAATAGGTCAATACTTACAAATAAAACAGGGCCAGGATGCACACAGATTGCTGATTTTCAGTTGTCTGTATCGTTTATTAGTACATTCCCTGTCTCAGCTTTGGCCCGCGGCAAATGCTGTTCTCCCAAGCAACCATTCGTTGTATGAAGGATGGTATGTGCAACAGTCATCATTAATAGTAGGAACAATTGGAAAACAGCCACTGTATTTGAGGAGAAAGATTATGACTGTATAGGCATGAGCCACCTGGTTTCAGGACCTTTCCCTGACCTGGTTTATTAGTAATATAAATGTAGCCTTAAGGGTCATTCTTGAAAACTTTTGTAAAGTGTCTACTTATTTCATTTGTACAGAAGGGTGAAAGACTTCGGGATCGTTCTGCTATGATGCCACTGTCCACATAGACAGAGGGCAGGTCTTTGAGTTTAATGAATGTCAAATTTAGTATTTATTTAATTCTAGGTAATTAAACTATGTAAGAAATAGGTTCTTAATGACTTTTTTTAAGCAGATGGTTTTGTGTATCTAAGCAGTTCTGCTACATCTTGCTTTTAAAATTTAGGAAGGGATTGAGCTGAAATACTTATCTATGGATTACAAAGGAATAATGCTGATTTAATATAAATCAGTAGTTAAAATAATCCTGCAAAACTGCTGTTGTGCATTTTTCTGTAGTGTATACAGGGTTAAATTGTAGGGAGAAACACCTACCCAAACCTTGCCAGAAGGCACCAAGTTCTGGGTGGGCAAAGTACAATAATGGCCGTAATTATAATGGCTGTTCATTCAAAAGTAGTCTGATTGCTTGGAACACAGATACGTACTCTGGTGTGTGTATGTGTATGTATTGATGTATCTGCATAAACCTGTCTGTACAGAAAATATTTTTTATTAACTATTTTAATTTTCTTCTCTCTGATGTGCTCTGTCAGCTTCAGAAATAATTCAAACAAATATTCATGAAGAAACAGAGTATGGACTTAAGGTAAAAGTCTAACCTTCTAGTGAGTTTTTCACATTCTTGACAAATCCATATTGTATAATACTATGTTTTGCATTTTACCTTAGTGTCAAGAATTGCTTTTTAGAGGTGAAAGTATTTCCGAGGAACTGGTTACTGAAATGGTTCTGCAAAAGCTTGAGTCACCAGAAGTTGCTCATTTTGGTAAGTATGTTTGTAGCCTAAACTTCTTAGAATGTGCTAACTTTAATTTTCATAGAATCATAGAATATGCTGAATTGCAAGGGACCCATTAGGATCATCGAGTCCAGTTCTTGGCCCTGCACAGTACCATCCCCAAGAATCATACCATCTGTGTTAGAATATTGTCTAGATGCTTCTTGAACTCTCTCAGGCTTGGTGCTGTGACCCCTTGCCTGGGGAGCTTCTTCCAGTACCCAATCACCCTCTGGGTGAAGAACCTTTTACTAATATCCAACCTAAACCTTCCCTGGCACAACGTCAGGCCATTCTCTCAGGTCCTGTCACTGGTCACCACAGAGAAGAGATCAGTGCCTGCCCTTCCTCTTCCCCTGAGGAAGTTGTAGACTGCAAAGAGGTCTCCCCTCAATCTCCTCCAGACTGACCAAAGAAAGGGACCTCAGCCACTCCTCATCAGGCTTGCCCTCTTTCCACACTTTACATCCATTGGTGCTCAAATATGATTTATTTTCTATTAGATGGTAACACCTTTTTTTGTGCTCTTCAGATTGTGAAATATCAATAAAATGAGTGTGTTTAGGGATTAACTTACCAATATGGGAGATCAGAAAGTGTCATACCAGTCCTATGTTGTGTTAATTTTGAGAAAATTATTTTGCCCCAAATTTTAAGTGTTGCTATGACTCTCACTTGACAATATTATCTGGTTAGAAGACTTTTACTATTTAAAATACAGCTTTTTTTTAAAATACTTCTATAACAACAACACAACAAAAACCCACTATCAAAAATATTTCAAACATTTAAAAAAATTAAAAAGAAGGAAATCATATTATTGAAAATGCATAGTATTATGGTCTTTTTTTTTTCTTACAACATTGTTTGTTCCCTTTCTGTTTTGTCACAGAGAGTAAGATGAGACTAGTATTGGTACTAGTAATAATTCTTCTATTTGCAGAAAGATTATATTAATTGAGGCCGTCAAGACTAGTGCTGCAGATCTTGCTAGTCTGAACCTGCTTTCCTGAAGAGAAAACAAATACACTGCTAAGTGGAAAGAAAGTAAAAAGGAAATATAGTTTTTTTCCTCATTCTGACTTTTATTTGAAATTTCCATTATAGGAGAGAGACAGGTGTAGTGGCAAGAAAATTTTAAGTTTCTTCTGCTCTAAAAACTAGCATGCTTTTTGAGCTTTCAGTTGCAATGTTTTTTTTTTTTTCTTCTCTAGTCCAAGACCCAACAGTTTTGCAAAATATGCAACCTTAACTGATGAAGCCAGGCTTTTAAAGCAGTATAAAAAAAGAGAGAGAAATAGGGAATAAATGAAAAAAAAAAAGGTATGATATGGACAGAAAATTTGCTGGAATAGGTATCAGCAGAAATGCCAGTCTCTTAATCCATATGTTAGGACTTCTTTAATAAAGGCATAAAGAGATATTTCTGTTATTGGAGTTCCCCTTTTTGAGTCTGCCTGAAGATGTGTGTATTGCAGAGGACACAGAGATCCTAGAGACTGTAAAGCTGATAAAAGTTTCGTTCTTGTAGCCAAGACATTTTCTGTATTACAGATACCCCAAAGTAGTAAGGAATAGAACAGCCAACATTTTCACTATTTTTCCTACCAACTAGAACTCATCTCCAAAACCAGTTTTGTTAAATATTTTCTAGTCCTAATAACTTTTTGTTTAATCAACTATTATCTTAGTATAATCCTTGGGAAACTTAAGCTTTCAGCAGGAACTAATTAGTCAGTTCTCTGTTAATTATTCATTAAAGATTTTAGAAACTGTTGTATGAGAGGCTGAGATTTTTACTTTTAATGTTTGAAAAATACAAGTTTCTAAACAGTACACACAATAAGGTATTCTTTCAAGTTATACTATTCTGTCTTAAATAATAAACATATCATGTTGGAGACCGATGTGCCAGAGGTATCCACAAGTGCTAATGCAAATGATAATATTTAAAAATTGTAAGACGCTAAAACCAGATTTTTTTCTTTACTTCCAAAGTGGGTCAGATATGGATCTTGTAAGCTACTTCTTGAAACAAACAATGTCTCTTATTAAAATAACATAGACACTGTACAATAACAAGCAAACTTGTATTTTAGGGCATTGTAGGTAAGAAAATACAGAATTATAATCTCTGTGTAATTGATACACTTGCTTTTTTCTTTCTTTTTTTTTTTTCAAGAGGGGAAGAAAACAACCAGAAGTTCATATCAGGTTAATCTAAATAATATTTGCAAAGGAAAAATCTATGTCATTATCACAGGAGGTAACTACTCTATTAGCATGCTCTAAATCAAACCAGGGCAAAGTTGTTTATTGATTTATTAACTGACAATCAGCAAACTGGTGATCAGTGAAAAGATTCAATATCAGCCGCAAAGCAGACAAGCCACAGCACTAGGCACTTGCCAAATATAATGAACACCTACAAATTTTTGAACATCCTCATAAAACTAATTCCAGGGAGTATACTCAAACTGGCATGGTTATGCATGCAAACCCTCTGTCAAAGATGTGTAGAAGTTAGAAGCACACATTCCCTTTTCTGAGAGTACACGTTCACCTATTTAAGCATGCTTTCTGTTGGAAATGCAGGCACATCTTTGTGTGCCATTTCCTGCAGTCTGCTAAGCCACACACCAGTGAGAAAGCTCTCCGTGAGCTCACATACACACACTAGGGATGTGGGTCACTGTGTGTTTAACCTTGTTCTGTCAGTCCAGTAGTTGAAATGCAGATTACTCAGAGCATCCAAGAGGGAGACTGTTCTGCCAGGCCTAGCCAGAAGGCTGTGGTGCTGGCACATCAAACCTGGTTAGGCTCCTGTTCTTTTGCCTTGCTCTCACTCTAAGATCTCTTCCCCTGGCCACAAATTTTAATGCTTCTCTTCAAGGTGTCTCCTTATCCCCTCAAAAGTTTCTTGGCAATCCCCTGATTACTATTTGATCTGGTTGATGGTTGCCATAGCTATACCTCATCATTGTTAGTCTCCCCACATTATTGGTTTGGGGGCAAACACTCTGTCAGAGAACAAACAGTTTCCTATGTTACACTTCCATTCTCATCACATCAGCTATTGTTGTCTGGGATGTGTTGGTAAGCAGAGACTGTGCAGACTCTTCACACCTACCAGTTAGAATTCTCTAAAGGTATCAACAACTTAGAATCCAGGATTTTATTTTCCTAGAGGAATGACTATATGTTATGCTCTCTTTTGCTTATCCTCTTCTATAAATTTTGCATCTATGGATAGTAGCTCCCCAAAGAAGGAGGAGTCTTCACTCCTAATACCTCTTGCAAAGACTGCTATGTTTTTGTGCTGCCCAGACTTGCATTTAAATGTTAGCACATAAAATTCTAAGCATGCACCATTTCTCTAAGGGAATATTATCATTATTTGGCTAAAAGAAATCCACCCAATTCTTTTTAGTCTCTCCTTCTGGCCTTATAAATATTGATTTTCTTACTGCAACAGTAGTTCTTACTGCACCAGATGCAGCCGTCAGTAGTTACAGTACTATCCTAGGAACTTGAAGCCACAATTTCATCTGTGGGGCTGAGCACTGTAATAATACTAGGAAGAAAAGTACTATTACCACTATGCTTGTCATATGTAGCCAACGTCTGCTTGCCAAACAGGACTCAGCATTGTGAATCCTGAGTGAACAAATGCTTACCAAGTTGGGTGCCTCTGCGTGCATACCGTGTGCATAGTGCCTCCTTTTGAGATGCAGGACTGCGGTTCAGACTCCCTTCCTTGTCCATAGAAGCAAAGACCTTCCAAAGTTGTATAATGCAGGTGGTCTGAGTATGATCTTTAATGTCCTCATAATTCTTGAGTTAACAAATTTTGGGAATACTCTATAAATTGAAAACAACACACTTTTTTTTTCCTGTATTTCATCTGAAGTAGACATGGGTGCACAATTTTTTTTAGTAGTGTTATATCATGTACATGGTTTAAAATTGTGCCACTAAATGTATTGTTTAAAGACAAGTAAAACTAGCCCTATATTTGACATAAACCTCTAAAAAATATGTTTCATAAAATGTATTTGTCAGGTTATGTTCTCAGTGGATTTCCTTCTCTCTCGGAGGAATACATGACTGTTTCACAGCAAATAGAGAAAATAAAGAATCTAAAATTAAAACCGGATTTCCTGATTAACATTAAGGTAATATCATCTTCATTAACTTGCTAAGGATTTTCTTAATTATTAGTAGACTCATATGCTGTGTATGCCAAAAGATTATATTTTCCTCTGTGCACTTGAGTATAGTATTTATTGAGGAGCAATAAATTGTTCTCTTTTATATTGGAATGGAATTTCGCTAGTTTGTTCCATTATAAGCATTGCTCAGGTAAAATAATGAACATTTCCTAAAACTTCAACAGCAGTTACAGTCTTTGCACCTCTACCAATTAGAAGATAGAGGTTTTCAAGAAAAGGAAATTTTGAGTAACATTATTATTATGGGATTTTGGATAAATGTACATCTGCCATTCACATCTTGCAGGAAAAAATTTCCCACATATGGAAGTTAGAAAGCAAATTGTTTTATTTTTCACTCACTAATTGTGTAACTGCTTCATATTCATTATTCATTCATCTCATTTACAAATCTCAATTTGTAGTGGGACATACCAGATATTTTACAGAAGTGACTGATATAACCAAAGAACCATAAATCTTGGAAGTGTAGGATTAAGAGGACTTCCTCATTTTAACTTAAAAGAATGGACTTGCTTTCTTCATCTATATTAGTAAAAAAACAAGGCAAGAGGGACTCTTCAGACATCAGGCCGACTGCTTTGGCCAAACATCGCTAACCTGTCTTATTAGTCAGAATGGGATGGCCATGCCCAAACTGCCCACTGGGAAAAGCCTGTGCCCTTCTCCAGATTGTGCCCAGCTATTCACTGGGGAGGATACTAGCTGACCCACACCAAACTGCCAGATTCCATGCAGATAAAATAACAGTATGTATAGTCGTGAACAAGGTTTCAGACCCTTCTTCTTGTAATGTTTTATTTATTATCGACTAGATTATTTCTCTCTTTTACTTTGAATGTGTAGAATGAGCTACTGAGGCAGCTCTGAATAGTCAGCCTCTGGTCTTGTGCTCCATTCTCATTGGGATTTTGATTCTGGTTGTCATATCTATGTGTTTTTTCAGATGCTAAGCTTCAGGGTATGGATCTACTCTATGACTTTGCAAATTTAACTCCATGTTTGTTTTAATCCTGTACTTTTAAGACTTAATTTGCTTGAATATGCATAGTAAAAATTTGTGAATGGCTACTTCAAACCTTTTTTCTATGATCATGGAAAGATCTTAAAATATTAGAGAAACATATTTTTGTGCTGCATTTCAGGCAGACATGATTTTTTTCAGAAAGTCAATCATTGTTTTAATAATAATAATAATGGCCAGTCTTCGCGAACGAAGATTTTGGGAAAGGTCTTTTACCTTTCCAGCCTGCACAATGGATTTTTTAGGTGAGACACAGCCTGCGCTGAACTGAGCCCACCCTTTAATCCTAAGGTTCATCTGCCGGGGCCAAGCAAGCTTGGACAATGACAGTGAGGTCCTCAGGACGTAGGTTTGTTTAGAGTGACCTTCTCATAGATGGATGGCCTCACAGGGCTAACGAGCTCCATCTGCCCGGGGGACCGAGGAATCGAACCCGGGTCGCAGCAGTGAGAGTCCTGCATGCTAACCACTAGGCCACCAGGGGTCAGTTTTAATACCAAGTAGTGAGAAATCCCAGTTCTTGAGAATATGTGCTGTATAGTTTCATATGCAACAGTACAAATGGATATACTAACTACACTGGAAAGAAAAATGTAATTCTTGACTTCTTGTAGTAACATCATCATCTTCTCCTGTGGGAAAAAGACTGAGACAAAATGTGCATTAAAAATCCTTGTCCCAAAGTTGAATGAATAATTTTGCTTTTGATTTCAGTTTATTCAAGCTGCTTTCACAGCTATGTCAGAAATGTAACTATTTTCATTAGACTAAAAGGAACAGAAGAATGGAGATTCTAGATAACTCTGGAAATAATAAAATACTGTTATTAGTAGACCAATTTAGAGAAATTTTGTCTTTCTGAGAAAAAGATGTTATAGCAGGACAATAAACACATGATTTCTTTTTACTTATTCCTTTCTAGTGTCCAGACTATGACTTATGCCAAAGAATATCAGGACAAAGGCAACACCCTGATTCAGGGCAGGTATATCAGAGGAGCCAGTGGGATCCTAAAGTTACTGAGAAGCGTAAGAAAGAGAAAAACCAGCAGGAAGAAGAGGATGAAGAAGAGGAGCAGGAAGAGGAAGAAGAAGAAAAAGGAGAGGAAGAAGAAGTAAATATTGCTAATTTCTAAACAATGCAAAGTATTATATTTTAGACAAAGCAGAACAAATTCTGATACCCTAAAATATCACTACACTACATTATGAATTAATTTGGCTCAACTTTAATCTTAATTCCATTTCTGTTCTGCTTTAAGAGATGTGGGATAATACTTAAATGGTGGGTTTAAATGACAGCAAGTGCTGATGATTGTATAGCTTAACCTGGATTCAGTCTTTAACATAAAAGTCACTGAACTGTTCCTTGCCATAAGTTGAGAGAGTGCATCAGGAGGAAAAGGGTGACTCTCCATTGCCTGTTTTTGATCTAGGCAAATAATAGAGTTCTTAGATTTTGTTTATTGTAGCAAGTTTTACTGGTATTTGCAGGACACTAGCTCATTTTCTGGTTTTGGTATTACATTACTACAAATGAATTTTCTTTTTTTTTTTATGAAGGTCTTAATTTTGAATTTAGGTTGAATTTTTATAACAGTGGCCAGAGACTTATTAATGCAAATTCTAAGCACATTCCTCTCCATTTGTGGTATCTATACTTCATCAGGAAAGGATCATGGTCAGCAATCACTGGACTGATACTCATTGCAATACTCTGCAAAGCTACTTTATTTACATTTGAGTGAAGACAAAAATTATTTCAATACATTATTTCTGTATCTTGAAATTTTGTTCTGCAGACTGCAGAAGATCTACATAAGAAAGCAGAATCTTTTCATCAATTAGTGCAGAGGCCTGAAGATATTCTTGAAAATGCAGAGAAAAGACTTGGAACATATAAGGATATAATGCTTCATCCTCTAGAAGTAAGAAAAAACGAAGTAATATGATCATGCATAACAGAAGATTTCTAAAAATATCTTGCACTGTTTTAATTGGGTTTTTTAGTTTGAGATCTGTTGTATGGAAGTGGTCATGCTACAACATCTCCCCAAATTCTGGAATGCATTCTGAAATCAATGATACAAAGTTGTCGTCTGTAAGTGAGGTTTGCACTCTGGGATCAAGATCAAGTTTGAGTTTTAAAAGTTGAGTATTAAAAGGGAAACCATACCTACCACCACAGACGCTTTTTCAGTCTAGTAAGTGAAGAATTTGAAGACTCCAGTGTTTCATCACCGTTACCAGAGTCCATTCCAGAATGCAATCCCATAAGTAATCTGCCCTTTACATCCATTACCTTCCACTCCAATAGATTCCCTTCCTCACCTGCTTCATTGTCTGCAGATCCATATACACAGTAATTATCCCATCAGTTTGCTTTGTCACCTCTTTAATTTCTGCAGCTATGACATTGTTTTTTCCTTTCCCTGTTGTGTTCAGGAAGGTGGATGTACTATGTGTCTCTTTTTTTTTTTTTGATTAAAAAAAAAAAACAGAACAGGTCCAAAGCAATAATTTGTTCTTTTATTTTATTTTTTCCCTATCTCCTGATATAAGCAACTGCAAAATCCTCATGTTTGATGCCCACTTGACAATTACTGATTATGCCCTTCGATTTCCCTATGGATTATTTAATCCTATAGATAAAATTGTGTAAAACTGGTATAACCTTTGTCGCTAGAGTAACAAACTTGTTACTGCTGTGAAGGGGAAAACAAAAGATGTGATATCTTTAATCATTACACGGTCTTACATGGATTTCTCGTGATCAAACTAATGGAAAGGTGTTTAGAATAAATTACCGTAGGATGTATACCAAACTTCAACAGGTTCAACACATTCCACTAGTTGGTAGGCCATACTTAGGCTTCGCTAGTGGTGAATGTATTAGTGAAGATATTTAGTGGTCCACTAATACGTTAAAAGAACATAGGGCTTTGTTATGTTGAGGTTGAGATGGTGAACTGGAAATAAAAGCTTTTAGGATGCGCAGTTGGCACTGAACTGGGATAGGTTGAATGAAGTTTGGAGAACACACTTTGATTGCTTGATGAATTGTTAGGATGAAATTGACTAGAAATAAATGTGAAATACTACAGTGAGGAAGGAAACCTAATGAACAATTAATGTGAAATAATTGGCTAGACCTCAGTACTGCAGACAATCTGCCATCTGTGGGGGTTTAGTTAGTCAAAACTGAGTTAATAAATTAGATGTTATTGTATTAATGCAAATATTATGGATGTACCGATAAGACCATAAGAGCATTGTATATAAGAGAAATGCAAACTATTATCTTTTCTGTAGAAGAGTATTAGAAAGAAGTAATTAGTTATCATCTATTTTTACTAAAGACAGGATAGATAATTTAATTTATTGTATAGAAGACAGACTAGATGCCAGGAAATGAACTGTGACCATAAATGTAGTGAAGAACTGGAACAGATTATCTACGAAGTTGTCAAGTCAGCTTCACTAAGCTTTTTCAGGGCTGAGGTTAGACCAACATATGTCAGGAATGGACTGAGTATTCCCAATCCTCAGAGAGAGGCATTAACAATGGACCTGGGAGGTTTGTTTTAGTCTTACTTACTAATGGGAAAATTGAAAATAAGAAAAATCAAATATATTGTTCAAATTTTAAAGAAATTGGGAGTCAGGACCAAAATGAAAACATTGGTCTCATGGCTGGCATTTCCAGGAAATGTGTTAATTCACATTGTCATCATTTTCCAGCAAAGAATTAAGGTAGTTAGACAATTAGAAGTTGAACTCATACACAAAATGGTACTGTATCTTGATATTTTTTAGCTCTTTTGCATTTGAGCTAAGACATCTGAGCTATTTTCTGAACCCATTTTAACTCCAATTTTGGAACTCTTTCTATATTTATCTGTCACCAAATAAAAGTTTCTCTCCAGAAGATTTTATAAGCCATCAGTACAATAAATCTTGATTTTGCTGAAGTCCACAGGAGGCTTAACTTCATTAACTGTCATTATGTGGTTAACTATACTCAATTGATGAGTATGTCTTTGTTCTTAAACAGGAATTGATGGCTGAACAAGATTGTCAATATCTTATTGAAGTGGATGGAAATCAGCAACCAGATGATCTCTTTGAGGTAAGTAAACTATGCACCAACTAAGTTAACCTCCACTAGAAAATAATTTCTCAATTCTTTGGATTGTTTTCCTGTCAGCAGAATTTTAAGTTGTTTAAAACTTATTCATTTACTATTAGAAAACATGACCTTTGAAATACTTGCTTTCATTGCTCTATTATAAGATTCATTGCACTACTGTCAGGTTTATGTATATGTTACACGGGAATATTTTCAGGAAGGCTACAGACTCTTTTGTGTTGTGTCCATCTGGTTTTAGCTCTTTTTCTGATGTGTATTAGTGTAAAATATAATGAGAAATTAAAACGTTTTCAGTACTATATATCTACAGAACTGGCCTATTTTGTGCTTGTGTCTAAAATAATAACAGAATTTTTATGAATTTTGATATTGTTTTGCAATGTAATAGAAGACACTTCATTCTTGTAACAGTTCTGCTGAGTGCTTGTGTCTAGATTTTTAGCTTATAACATAGCAACTCATTCTCCCTATTCTAAAACCTACAGTGGTAAATCTTGAAAATAAATAATCTTATCCTCTGCCTCAGAACTAAGAGTTGCTTCAAATCAGAACCTTAAATAAGGGGTTGAAAATTAAGTAGGAGATCGTCTTTGACAATGTAGAAAGTGAGCTGCTCCTGCATTTTCTCCTCTGTTGTTTGAAACAAATTGTATCAATTATAATTCTGTAAGTACTATTTCAATTTATGCTGAACTTCACTACCAAGACTGGTCCTATGGGCAAAAAACCCCAGTAATTTTGCAGGGTTGGAACATATGATTTCCTCATTTATGATCTCTTTGTGAACATTACAACACAAAATTTATGGCAAACACAATCAAGTTATGTAATGATTCCAACCATTTTACCTACAAGTAAGGGCCTATTGTGAAACAGAAAGAAACAAACAAAGACCTATTATGCAACTATTCCAAACATGACAGAATTGGCTTTTTCATTTCAAGAACGCTTGTATTCAGGCAAGATTACATTCAGGAAATATTTCATTTAAACTTAATATCATCTGATTCTCATTGGTAGACATCTGGTTTAAATATCTTTAAAATAAACTACCCAAAGTCGTATTACTTCTGAATGTGTATATACTGATTTCCTAAAGAGACTTGCCTCTTTTTCAGATTGGAGCTCATCTGAGTAGTTCCACTGATTTGATCCTTCACAGCCTATTCCTGTAGGAGGCTTGGGATTCACAGCATAATGAGGAGATATAAAGACTGTGATTTGGCATTTTGCACTGCCTGTATCTACAAAATAGCTTGTTAAAACTATAAACTGGGCCTCCGTATATATTTAACCATTATATAAATAATAAGTTACAATTTTAAATATGGTTTGGGGGGCCTTTCAGAGGACAAAAGCAGTTTTGATTGGTACTGAGTTGGTATTTTCTCTTCAGTCAGTGGTAATTCAACTTCAGTCTATGGATGTTCGAAATGCAGCTCCTATAATTCGACTACAAAGTGAACAAGAAGAAGAAACGCTGGGGGGAAAGAAAAATGTAAGTGGGCTTTTCTGAACTGTGATTGACTGTAATAACTAGATTTTTTTCGGTGTAAGTTTATATTGTAACATCTTTGCTTCACAGGAGCCAGTTTGTTTTACCGTGCAATAAGGGCATTTTTTAAACCTTGATTTTTCAGAAATGAGAATTTAAGATAAATCTGGGACTGAAATCCACTTAAAAAGTATGAAAATAAAAAAGTCTGTCATTACAAAAAAAAGTTTAGATGATTATAATAAAATTTTGAACAAAATTATTGTTTTAGCAATGAAGAATTAATTCCTTCCAAGAAAATAAAGAAACTTTAGCCAAAGGATAACAATCTCAGCAACCGACACTTAGCTCAGTCTTTACTCTTTTTCTGAATGAGAAACAATGTGCTAATAGAAGTCCAGCAACATTCTGCCTAACTGAAATCACACTCATTCTATTTCCTGTAATTAATTAGAAACATGGCAAGTTAGTGCTGAATTTTGCTGAATCATGACAATTATACTTTGTGTCCCTTCCAAATAAAACTGAAAAACAGAGGTCTCTGTATGAATGTCTTCACCTGTATTTAGTTGCACTCATCTTTCCTGCTTCTTAACTAAACTTTGAATATATGAACCATACTGTAACTGGGAGACTCCACCACGCATTTTCAGAGAAACATCCCTTGCTTCACTTTTCTGTTTTCTCCGTTGCTGACAAATTCACAAGTGAAAGACAGGTCATCTGTATTTATTATTTAGTTAGTTTGTGTGTTTGTTTTAGTTTGTGTGTAAGCTTTTAGTAACCACAGTATTTGGGGCAAGGAGTTCTGCATCTTAGCTGGACGTTATATACAGAATTGCTTCCCTTCATGTTGCAGCTGCAGCCTTTTATCTCCATGTCCTCCACCTGTTGATATGCAGAAGTCAGTCTATACTTTTGTTCTCTACATCTGCCCTCTAATAACTCATGATTTCAGACTTACGTCCTGCTCTCATGTAGCTGTACTGAAGAGTTTCAGTCTACATAATTTTATCCACAGAAGTATGTATTCCAGGATCTATTCCTGAGTAGTGACAGTCAATGAAAATTCATAAATCATAATTTTCTGTGTAAAACTGCTATTTTACTGCCTGACTTTGTAGATTTTGAAGGTTTTTCTGCAGTTCTTCACAGCCAGCGCTTGTCTGTACTATTCTGAATAATTTAGAGTCACCATAACTTTAGGACTCACTCACTATTCACCTTCTATAAAAGGTCTATTAAACTTACTTTATCACATGATATTTCTGCATGCCTAAAATAGGTACTTTGACCTTGCTATTCCCCGCCACAGACCTTGGTCCTTTTTTCATCCCCTTTGGAAGAATTCTTGGCCATTTTCTGCCATCTTCAATAAGTGCCTCATTATAATTTTAAACTTCTGAAAATAATAAGTAGAGCCTACAGAAGCTATTTTAAATACTATTTTTGTTAAATAAACCTGAAAAACTCCTTAAAATTGTCCTACAATTCTGAAATATATAATATTTAAAAAAATATTCTTAAAAGCATGATGTGGTTTTCTTTTTAGGTTTGCATATTTTCCATCAAAATGTTTCAAAAAAATGTAAGAAAAAGGCATATGTAGCTTCAGACAAAAATTACATATGCTGTTATTGCTGTTTTAATAAACAGGATGAACTTTTCCGTGTTCTGTCATCTTACAATCTAATAGCACCCAGATACCGATGGCGTAGAAGCAGATGGGGACAAGCATGTCCCGTGGCTCTAAAGGAAGGTGACATTGTAATGGGAAACCCAGACTTTGCTGTCAGGTTAGCAGAATTTGACACTCAGTTTTCGTTTCTATTTAATGAGATAACTGTCCATATCTGTTAGCTTCTCTTCTGTTTGAAGTTTTCTAGGTAAAATGTACGTACTGTCATCCCCAGAGGCATTGAAAACATTTATGTTGAATCCACGGCCTTATCTCTTACCACCAATGCCGCTTCCTCCTTGCAAAGTATTAGTATTTGGTCCTCCATTCTCTGGAAGAACAACTATTTGTAACCTAATCGCGCAGAAATATAAAGGAAAGGTAGGTTTATAAATGTCTTACATAGCAAGGGTATCAGCTGAGGCTTGGGAATCAGTTAAGCACATTCCTATTCCTGTTGTGTTATTAACAGACACATCACAAATATATGGATTACAGAGAAAATATCATATTTCAGAGAAATTCATTTATTTGAAAGTAGCTGCATTTCAAAAATACTTTTAGTATTAGAATAATTATTAATTAGCATTAGAATATTATTAATAACTTTTGTATCTAGGATAATTAAATATAAATGCAAATTAAAAATAACCCTGCACTGGAATTATATGTAAATTTTTATGGATCAGATGTTATATTTCTTCTCTGTGATATTTGTATTTTTTCAAATAATTTCACTAGGTTCTTGATATGGCCAAACTCATTCAACCCCATATAGAAGAATCAAGAGAAAAAAACACTGAGCAAGTGCAAAGGGATGCAGTAGAAAAGGCTATAACAGCAGTGAAAAATAGGTTGGAATTAGAAGAACAGTCAGGAGAAACAGGTGAACAAAGTGTTCTATGGTCTTTGAAGCTATTTTATTTGCTTTAGGTTATTTAACTGAAGCAGTTGCTGTCACTTTACTTAAAAAGTTACAGTTGTTATGGTTCCTGTGCATTAAATATAAACTAAAAGAAGATGCAGTGAGGGGGATAGCTTAGTAGAATTCAGTATATATATACATATAAATCCTCTGAATTTGAGGACCATTAGTATTAAGAAAGAGTTTTCTGAGCTCTGAGCTAAAAGAAGAAATTGGTTCTGACTGATACTGTTTGAAAACTTTCCAGTTAAGTTAAATCTCTACAAAATTGAAATTCTCTTCAAGAAAGAAGCTTGTCAGCTAGGCTGATGTGAATCCACAATCTACAGATTTTACACTCTGGAGCAGCTTCCAAGTATGCTGTCTCAGATGGCACATTCACAAGTCACTCCAGCTCCAGTCACATTTAGACTCCTTAAGCTGCCCAGGTTTTTGCAGCTTGAATTCAGAAAATATTTTGAAAAGGTGAAAATAATACATTGTTAAATATCTTTAAAACAAAATTTGTGGGTTTTTTCCCAGGAAATTTAATGGGGGCTTTTAAAAATAGGGTTTTTTTAAATGAAAATTCTCCACTGAATTAGAATTGCCTTTTCCAGTTAGCTCTCGTTATGGTTCAAATGGACAACCAGGCCATTTTGCCTTATTCAAATAAGCAAGGAATCACTATGTTTGACTTTCTTATGGGTTGATACATATCTAACAAGGATTCAGTATATTCCTCTGGTGCTGCAAAATAGAGGCTGACAGTGATGAAAAACCATTGGCCTTGCAATAAGAATAATGGTGAGCTATCACACCAAAATTAAAACCATTAACAGTGTCATGTTCCAGATTCTTGGCTATGTAAAGACTTTTCAGGACAGGTATGTGAAATGATATTAGGATTAAAGAGAATTTAATCCTAATTCATAACCTGAGAGAGCTCAGGCAATTTTATTGCAAAACAGAACTACAAACAGATTATGTGTTTTCACTTAAATATATTTTTATAGCATAAGATTGTTTCAGAATTTTTTAATAGATAAGAATAGGTGCTAATTCACACACAAAAACTAAAAGGAAGAGAGGATCTGGATTCAGAAGTAGGAGTATTTGCCACCTGAATATGAGAAACTTAAAAGTATGCTAAGTTTTAACTTGTTGAAATGCTTAAACAAATGAAATATGTTTGTAAACCTATTATGGTTTACAAATAATAGTAATTTTTGCATACAGAGCAGACTTTTATTTCATCTCAAACAAGATAGGTTGTTAGGTAAATCCAATTAATGAACATTAATGAAATATATAGAGAGGAAGCTAAAATCAAAGTTAAATAAATGTGGATTGTGAGGTAGTTTTTGCAAGTTTCTTTGACTTTTTAAAGAAAAACATTTGTTCTTTCAATGATATTCTTCCTTTAATTTGTGACATCCTGTATCAGAAAAATATACCAAAGAGAGCACTAAAGAAAGATGCAGAACTGCAGAAGTAGGATATAATATCTTTAGCTATGATAACTGTAAAGTCTGCTCCATTTGGAGTTTGGGCTGCATTGAGATTTTTTGCAGTATGGAAATTAGTAAGTTATTGTCACTTACCCAGGGACTTTGTAACTTGGCAAAAATTTGTGTTAATTTGTGCACGTAAAAAGTAACAGCATAATCATGGAAACTTCTTGACATAATCACAGAAACTAAATATGGGTTTTTTTCCAAATTATACTGTTAGTAGATAATGCAGTTGGCTAAAACAGTTCTTCATCAAATTTTATCAAATCAGTATTTACAGTATTAACTGTAAAATGAGTGTTCCTTAAATTTTTTTTTAAATAATTGCAGTTGTTGTGCCAGCCATTAATAACAAAATATGGGTCCAATATGAACGTTTTGTACATCTTAGGTAATGCAGGCTTCTTGATTGTTGACAGTACACTGCCTCGATCAGTGATTTGTATTGATTTTAAAATTAATCTAGTCAACCTTTTGATTTAGAAATCAAAGAGAAATCAAATCCAGGGAAATTCTCAGGTGCTGCAAGTGCCTGATTGTGATTGTTCTAGTACATAAATGTAATTCTATTCATATTGAAACCACATTTCACTTAGTGGTAAAAAATACTGAACAGCTAAAATGGTTGAGTTTTTTATCATGAGAGAGCAAACCAAAATCCTAAAATTTATCTTTATGAAACATTTCCTAGAACTGCATTCAGAAGAACTGGTGTTTGATTCTTTCTCAGCATAATTGTGTAGTATTGCTTAAAATGACTACTGGGCTGTAGTTATGATTTAACCTTTTATTTGATTCCCATTAATTTGGGAAGTGCTTTAAAAAAATCTGTATTGCTAGGAATATCAGAGATAACTGCTGACCACCCAGAAGTTCAAGCGATGGTAGAAGAAGCCATGAAAAGTGCATCAGTCTCTGAAGCTACACTGCCACCTCAAATATATGCTGAAATACTGGAGGCAGCTATTGCAGAGGTAAGACTACAAGTACTATATAGCAAAGCATTTTTTTCCTGAGAGCAACTTTTAACAGTTTATAAATTATTGATATATGTTCCTAATTTTTCTGTTTGAAAGATCAGTTTAGTTTATAACACAATGCCTGGAAACCTTCATACGATTGAGGAGAGACTGAGCAGGATCATGAAAGACAGATCTATTGGGGACTATTTTATATATGTGTATATACACGCACAAACTATATCTGTCTTGCAAATTACCTGGGCTACAAATTGTTAAAGCCTGGGAGAATTATCTGAGGGATCACTGTATGCTTGCCCTATTCTCACATTCTTAGTCACTATTAAACAGCTCAACACCAGATACAAGAGTTTGAAAATAATTGTTTATGAAGGTTTATCCAAGAATCTTGAATTGTTTTAAATTTGTTCAATTGTTTGTAACTATTAAAATTGGAATCTAAATTCTTTATAGCAAGCTTAAAAATCACTATCACAGTTATCTCTTTTTGTTTAAAATGCTTTTAATTTTCATTCAGAAAATGTCTTATTTTTTATTGACCTGAAATGACAAAAAGGAAAAATCATAACATTTAGAAAATCATTTTGTGTTGTGCAGTCTTTTTTGTACAGCTGATAGACTTAGTCTTTTTATATCACTGAACCTGACATTTTGTAACAGCTAATGAAGAAGAACAAAGACAGGTTTCCTGGCGCTCCGGAAAAAGGAGGATGGGTAGTGGATAACTACCCTCTGTCAGTAGATCACTGGTCAGCTTTATCAGAAAAACGACTCCTACCCGACACTGTTATCTGTCTGAAGCATACGGAAAAAGATGGTTAGTAAATGCATACTAGTGCAATTTAATATTTTCTTTTTTTTCCATGTTGATATCTGTATATAAAGCACACTTATGAGAAAAACTACTAGTTATGTTCCATTTATAAAGTGTCAGGGGTCTAGAGAAGACATAATTCAGTGAATCAACAAGAGTACCCCAAATTTCTTACAATTTGGATTAAGGGAATTACACAGAATTGAAAACCAGAACACTCTGCAAAAGCAGTAAAGAAAATTCCTCCTATTTATAATCAATTTTCAATTTTCTCCTATTTACAATCATTAGTAAATACCAGGGAACTCTTGTACTTTCAGATTTTTGCATTCTGTGTCTGGCTGGCCACCAGCTTGCAATGTGGCTCTCTGTCAAATTCCCCTGTGCATTAGTTTCCCTATTTGAAAAATTATGTATCAAATTTCTGTACTTGAGAGAAAAGAGGGAGAGAAACACCTGTATGTAGGTGTATCCTGTTCTCCATCCTGGGATCAAAAAAAAAGAGTAACTTCTTACCCAGATTGATACAATAGCTTAGTATCCATGAATTCAGAGGAAGGGATTTTTGCTTTATTGTTTCAAGCAGGAAGGAAGGTTGGTATCAGGCATGAATAACTGAACAGATTCATATACTGTTAGAAGTTTTGCCTGCCAAATCAGGTCTTAATGGAATATGGCTGCCTAATTCATACCACAACACAAGTTTAATTGACCTTTGGGAATGTTTGGTCATTGCCTGTCCAACCCCATCCATTATCAAAAGATCTTTCAGTGGCAGAAACTTCCATTCTAGAAAGGCATGATGGGTCTATTCATATGTAGTTCAGGAAAGCTCAGTAACTGCCCAACATTGGAATCAATGCAGAGAGCTTTTCAAAACCTTGTTCCTGGATATAAAAATCAACCTGAGTACATGAACGTTATACTGTTTACTCAGAACAGATTTCTGTTATTTAAAAAAAAGCTTTTCAGAAGCATGTCAGCTGATCAGCTAATCATTCTCACAACTCAGGTACCATACCTAAATTACTTAGTCACGTAGCTTTGAGAAATTTTGTAACACCTTAAACATCTTAACTAAAAGTCTTTCAGTGTGGTTGGAGCTCATATACAGACTAAATACAGAGTGAACATTTCTATGAGAAAGTTCTAGATCCAGTGTTTGTCAGAAAATTGTATTTGCTATCTCTATCATTCAAGACCTCATCTCAGATACTTTCAGAGTGAACTTAAGGGCAAATTACATTTTGATGCCTCATCTCTGCTTCCCAGACATTCCAAGCTGCAGAAGAATACCAAGACTAAATTATCTAAAGGTGGCTTTATGAACTATATTCTTTTAAATTCCCTTCAGTTATCCTCTGTTTTTCAAAAATACATTTAATTGAAAGTATTAGTTTAAAATATAAACCCTTCACACAGAAATGTCATCACTTCAAATCAACACCAATGTTTCTAACAGTTAAGTGACATCTTTCTCACAGTTAAAATTTAGATAAAAACACATTTTATGTTAGTTGATCATGTGAGATATGGGAGGAACAAGTATGAGTAAAGTGAGGTAAAAGAGATAATCTCTGCTATAGCTTTTGGCTAAAAGTGTAGCTTTTTGCTTATGGATACACTTACTTGAATTTAGCTATTTTGTTTCATTTTGTTCATTTTAGTCTTTCTTTTTATTTGGGCAATTGTGTTAGCTCTTTGTTTGATTCCTACTAATTTCTGTCATTTAAATAACCATGTAGTTGTGGAGTTTACATTTTCACAGTATTTGAGTCATTACTTTGTAAGATATTCCCTGAACTAGTCTAAACTGTCGTAAGTGCACTGATGAAAATGGATTTTAGCCACACAGCCATATATCATAAATCTATTTGCCAAGGTAACTAAGTCAGTAGAGTTCCTAGTAAGAACAGCATATTCTTCATTTCTGTCAACCAGCTGTAGTAGTAGAGGTATGTACATTATTTATATTTTATTTGAATGTTTTTTATTTATTTCTTCATAGTTTTCTTCGTGCACATGTAAACAAAATAAATGTTGGAGTAATGTGATATATATAATGCGTGATAAATAAAGCCTTTCAGTTCTGTCTCCCCTTACAGCCTTCATCATAATCTTCCAGTATCCCAGGCTCAGTTTACCAGGTGCTTGAAATTGAAAACAAAGCTCTAAAACCATAGAAATCAACAGTATAACAACATTTCAGCAGTACATATGCTTTTTGTTGACTTTAAAAAGAAGTAAGATAGTTGTATATAATTTATTAAATAATAGTCTGAACTCAATAACTTCTGTTTTATTCAGATGCCTAAAACTCATTACTGTTATGTAATGGTACTGCAGAAGTCTGTATACTATGTAGACCATACTTAGCAAATAGGAAAGAAAATAATTTTATTATTATTTAGCTTTTATTTTACCTATATATAACAAGGCCTAAGTTATAAAGGTACTATAAGATAGACTGAATATGATAACATGCTTTTAATTTTTAATGATGTAACATTTCACCTACTCTCTGAAAGAAATACTCTAGCCTTGTAGGGTTCTTTAAATTACATAGAAGCTTTTTAAAAATTCCACATTGTAATTTTTTATAGTTTCTAATAAAACACACAGCTCTTCTCCAAAATGAACAAGTTCTATAGTATTATCTATAAAGGCTCTTACAAAGATACTCTCTCATCAGTGTCTGAAACAACAAAGTGCATCTTAGTTTTGAATATCTAACTAATTTTGATCTGAGTGCATCAAAATAACATTTATTAATGATAGTAGTAATAATGTGATGTACACACTTGTGCTCTTAACACGTGCTAAGTCCTTGTTCAGAGTAAATCATGTTTTCCTATGCCTACATTTTATTTCAATAATCAAACACTGACTCACTGAAACACTTCAGTCCTGCTGCTCTTCACCTGACATCTGTTTTATTTCTCATGTAGTGCCATCAGCACATTGCTGCAGCTTTTCTCCCATGTGACATGTCTTTACACCAATATAAATGAATGATATGTTCACAGTTTTGGTTGTTTGGTTTGGGGTTTTTTTATATGTAAGAGTTATGATATAAAAACGATTAATCAGAAAAATAGTCCAGAGTCCAAATCATACTCTTCTAGTGTCTCATATATGAGATCATCTGGGAATGACTCAAAGCTGCACCAGGAGAGGTTTAGACTGGACTTTAGGAAGCCTTTCTTAAACAAGAAGGTGGTCAAACACTGTGACAGGCTTCTTTACAGAGATGGTTGATGCCCCAAGCCTGTCAGCATTTCAGGAGCATTTAGACAATTCCGTTAATAACATGCTTTAACTTTTGGTCAGCCCTGAATTGCTCAGGCAGTTGGTGAGAAGTAGATGATCATTGTAGGTCCCTTCCACCTGAAATAGTTCTATTCTATATAAATAGATTCACATTTTAATAATCACGATTTTTGTAACCTCAGTGGGACCTGAGATTGCCTGAGGACTGAACCATATTCAAATTTATAATATTGTTTGTGTTTAAAAGGAAAAAGTGGTTCCAGTAATGTCTTAATGAGAGTGGAAGTATAGGGGGAAGGAGACTTCATGTAAATGTAACAAATGTATTTAAATAAGTTAAGAAGCTAAGTTCAATGCTAAAGTGTCTAGTGAGGGTACACAAATCAATTTATGAGGTAACTCTTGCTTGTAATGTCTAGCTGAAAATTAAAGCCTCACATCTTTTTTTCATGTTCCTTGACACAATTTTTCTGAGCCTAAATTATTTTCAGAAATTTGTTACTGTAGTTAAGCATTTTTGCAGAAGCTTCACATGGATATGTATTTATTTATACTAGGAGACAGTTATATCACTTCATGAGAATATATCTCAGGCATTGTAAGAGAGTTACCAGCTTCAAGTAGATCTGTGGGTTCATTCCAATCTTCCTGAAGTAAAATTTGCCGTATTCCTTTCCTGCCACATTTCTGCCAGAGATTACTCCCTTTCTATAAGAAACTCCACTGGAGCACACATGCCTATGCCTCAGTAGTTCAGGGTGGTGTGTTAGTAAAACCCCATCTTCACTGATGTCTCTTCTGCTGCTCTTGTTATTTGGGCAGAAGTTCTTGCCAAAAATAAATGGGTAGCTGGGGCTGATAATTCCAGCCATCATCTCTTACACTTGTCTTTCACAGCTGTTAACATCAATTAGTTATAAGCTCTTTAATAATGGTTCCAATCCCCCCTTTCCTATATTACAGATGGTGGAGGGTTGAATTAATACGCATCTCTTTGGCTTTTATTTTATGTTCTTGCTTTTTTATTTGTATTGTCATGTTAAAATCAGTAAGATATTTGAAACAACAAGAGAAAAAATAATTAAACCTGTTCATGTTAGGACATTTCCTCTTTAGTCTTTGAAGAGAAATGCTTTTTGGAATCAATTGTAATTATAAAATTTATGCTTTGCAGAATCAATTGTAATTATAACATTTACCAGGCAGATGATGTGTACTTAGTCCTACAGCGTCTGAATATATTTCCTTTGTTTTTCCTGAATGGCTTTCAACCTGATTTGTGGGGGTTTTTTTTTCCTCAAACTGGAGGCTTTTCAATGAGAGTTTGGACAAGGACAGTTAATTAAACTGCAGACAAGACATAGCAAATTACTTGTTCTGTAAACTTCAAAGCAAGCTCTAGTGATATTAACTTCACAGTTTGTTCAGTCTTTGAGGAAAACTGCGTGATCTTCGAAGCCAATTTCTGCCCTCCTTCATAAGCCAGATGTGATAATTACATTTTAATACCTGTAATCACAGCATTCTAGGCAGAAAAAAAATCGAAATTTGAAACAGAAAAGTTAAGAACAACTTTCTCAATTAAATCCCAAATACCTTCAGTTCTTAAATTCTTTTAGTCTCTCATTCAGAGGAATAAAGGCTAAGGGATATTGATGTAGTACAACTATGCAATTCTTTGCAGAAAAAAAAAAAACAAAAGCCTATGATTAGAGCTATCAGTCTCTCTGAAA